CGATAAGATGGAAGAAACCCCCGGCCCTCCCAAATCCAAGAATACTGTCTGATAGTAAGGGTTGAGATCTTTAATCTTTGTCTGTTTGCTGGCTGGCTATAGGAGTCGACTAGCAAGCTTTTGCAGGAGCTGGAGGAGGAACGCATCGATTTCATTCGCCGACGTTTTTGGGAATACAGCAACTTGCTTTCGGAAGCTTGCGTGTCGGTAGATAAACACTGTGAGGAGGTGCGGCGCTCCTTGGAAGACTGCAGCGTGGATAAGGACATTCAAGAGTTTATTCGTAACAAGCAAACGGGCACGGAACGCCCAAAGCCGATTCCATACTACAACTTTTATGAGTTTGATGGTGGTTCCAACCCCGCTGGGGCTCCAGTGGTAGCCGCTGCCAATGCTGGTCCGGGTGCCTCAGCTTCCTCGAATCCAGTGCCCTTGACCAGCGCCCCGGCAGGCTCCCCACTACCCTCCTCTGCCGCCACACCTGTGACACCAAGGGCAGTGCAGTCAGGTATGTCAGCTCAGCGTGCTTCCCCCCCCCAAACTTATCGGTGGTAAAGTCATTTAGGGCTCATCGACACGCCTGCAGGTGCGGAATACGTCATCGCCACTTTCAAGTACGAGAAGCAAGGCGATCTTGAACTCAGCTTAGAACCGGGAGACCGCATCAGGTACGATCCCTTTTGTGCTCCATCCTGTTTGCCACGTTTTTTGGTATTGAGAACAGATAATATGTCATTGGGCTCGATTGGGGGGTTGTTGTATGGTTTATGACGCAGGGTCATCAAGAAAGAGAACGACACATGGTGGAAGGGCGAGTTAAACGGCCTTGAAGGCATGTTCCCATCGACCTTTGTCAAGCCAATCTAGTAAATCGACTCTGGTCTGTTTTGTGATCCGTTAATTTTTGAGTTTGCTGCGACATTGGGGGTTGCGAGACATGCCGAGTGGTGAGATCGAGGTGCTTTTTTTGGTTGCAACATGTGACATTGTCTCCCGTGACCACCTGTGGCCTCGCCCCTTCTTCGCCTCCTCTTGGCTCGGGGCCTGAAAGTGATGCCTGATGTGTTCCAACCGGGTGCATCTGGGCTCCTTGGCCAACGGGCCTTGTTTGATTTGTGAATGCCCCAGATGGCGTTGCCAATCGAAACATCTTCCTGTCCGACCCAATTCATACTTTGCGCCCCCCGCGCACGGCACACGCACCTCAAAAACTTGGCCGCCTTTTTGTTAGCCTTATCCTTTTGATTGGACTTGGCGGCTTCTTGAGCCTTGATCGCAGCTTGCTCGGCCTCGATCTGGGCTTGACGTTGTCGCTCCTCTTCCTGAGCCCGACGCTGGGCAGCTTCCTTCTCTTGGCGCACCCTGACAGGGTCATAGCCTTGGCTGCTGCTGTTGCTGGCTATCTTGGCTTGAGTCACGATGTTCTGACGCGATCGCTGGCGCCTTTCTTCTTCAGCCTTTTGCTGGGCCGCCTCTTCGGCACGCCGGCGCTCCGACTCGCGAGCCCGTGCCTCCGCTTCTTGGCGCTGTTGCTGGGCCTCTGCATCGCGAGCCTTGCGTTGCATTTCCTCCTCTTGTAGCTTGCGTTGGCGTTTCACCTCAGCCTCAAAGGACTCGGTACCCTTGTACGAGCTTACGTTGCCTCTACACAAGTTGAGCCAATGATGAGAATCAAGGTTGCTTACTTTATGAATCGAGGTGACTGAGGGTGATACGACAACAACAACCGAGACACAGCGAGGTCGTGCGCCTTGCACTCACCGATGAAGCCAGGCTTCACCCTGCTGGGACAGCATGGTGACGCGGTCCATAAGACCTCCGACGATGCCCATGGTGTCGCGGCGCGTATCTTCATATTCTGCTTCACTGCCACGGAAGCCGTGTCCCTTGGCCTGCCACCGCTCGTCGTTGGCCGCGATTGACGTTGCCAAGCTCTGCCAATCCAAGGTGTTCGGAGGTGAGGGAAAAGACACGCCCTGGCAAAAACCTGACAAGCCCATGAGCAAGCTTTGCAAAGTTCCACCTGTAGACGCGTAGATAGACTGGCCACGTGGCGACGAATATCCTCTTCCTTGACGCTGGTGGTGTTGCCACGCAGTCGCCAGGCCTGCATAAGCCCATTTAAGGCCAAGGTAACGCCACCAATCAGTAGGGTTCAGAACGAGAGGTTACACACGGGAGAAGGATTCTGATCGCGCAAACACACGCACCTCCTCGGCGTTGGCCAACGATTGAATACGCGATTCGAGGGGCGACAGCGTGGCATCCAGACTGTACGCATTTTGACCCGACTCCTGATGCACCATTAGTTTTGTTGTGAGATACGGCGAAATAGCACGGCTATGGCTAAGGAATGATCCAAGAAGCGCTTGAAATGGCCTACCCGATTCTGCTCCCATTCAAGTTGCAAAGCATCGTAGTTTTTGGTCCAAGCGGCCTGCTATAGAAGGGGAAAAAAGATGCAGAGTGTCACCGAGAGGAACCCGCTGATGGCGTGCGTCTTCTCCAGGACCCAGACATACCGACTCTGAAAGTGCCTTCAAGCGCACTTCCACGGATGGCACACGGCCGATGACCGACGCCGCTTGAGTTGCCCCTATCATGTCAATTGCATGGCTTGAGTAACCAAGAAACAGTAGCAGGTAACCCAAGCCTTTGCCAGCAAGAGTGCGCTGGAGTCACTGATGTTCAAACGCAACCTACCTCCAGTGTCGGTCGCTGGTTTGGCTGCTTGCACACTGGCCTTGCGCTCCGCAATTGTTGGAGCTTGTGCTGGCGGCGCCTGTCCGGGTCAAAGGCCATGAATATGCAACCCCCCCCCCTTTTTTTTTCGCTCATGGTCACTCCAGCCTTTTCACACGCCGGCTCGAAGAGACAAGCGAACAAACAAAAACCACAAAAAGGCCACAGTGGCCTCAAATTGTTGCTTGGGACGGGCACGTACTGTGTCCTTCTGCACAGGTCCAGCAGCAAAAACATCCGCTGCACTGCCACGCTAAGAGTGTAATTAAAAATGCATGGCAGCAAAGACACAGGCCGAACATTTGCGGTTACGTGAGCACAGGCCAGCAGGAGACGTGGGACGGCTGGGAATCAAATTGACAGCAAAAACTAACCGCCTCCTTTGCCTTGCGCTTGATCGTGGCCACGGCCTCATCCTCCGTGGCAACCAGTTCCTCTGTGTACCGACATCAGAAGGAAGCACGCTCTATGAGCACCACAACACCTTTGGTACATGCAACGTGCTTTTGGCTTACGAGTCAGAGCAGCCAACTCTTCTTCCTGTTGTTCTTCTTCAGATTTGGTAGCAAGGGCTAGATACTTGTCGAGCAGCTTCTCGAGCTGATCCATGGCATCCAAGCACACAAGGAAGAGGTAGACAAACTGGATCTATGTGACGCCAGACAACAACGATCAAAGATCATACGCAAGTCGTGAGCGTGGTGGTGCAGATTTCAACGACGGCCTGGGCTAATCGGGCGAGAACAAACTTGAGACTGGACCATAAAGTTTCGGGCCCGTCGCATGTCGCGCACAATATCCAGCACGTCCGCGTCGCGCTTGGACAGGACACGGTCAATGTACCTGTCATTGGAGAGGTTGTGAGACATGATGTCTGTAGGAGTGCCTCATTGTTGCAATGTTTGAGCAAGGCAGCCGGAACAACGTAACAATGGCTTACCGATCCAAGCCAATGAAGGTACCCGTGCGACCAACACCAGCCGAGCAGTGAATCAAGGGAGTGCAGTTGAGACGTTTGAGTTGGTCCTTGACTGCCAGGCTAGGGAGAGGAGGCACACGTGTCTGCTGTTAAACGCGGGTTTGCTGGGCATGACAGTGCGCGCGAAGGACGCGTGTATATGACAAGAAATTTACCGAAAGCCAAGCAGTTCCTTTGTCGTGGCAGGCACGCCGTGATCGGGCCAGGCTGTGTACGCCATTTGCGACACATCGCGCTATGCACAGAGCGCCAAGGTGAATCAAGCTCAATACACGCTATGATTAAAGCGGGCAGGTACGGTGGACAGCACCAGACACACCGCCTCGCCGCTCTCAAGATACAGTTTGAACTTGCGGTGCACATAAGTGGGAAAACTTTCTTCCCCTTCAAAGCTAACGATGTAAGTACCAATCTTGACTTTTTTGACGGGCTGCATGAGCGTTCAGCCCAGAGAGGAAACGGGGAGGATCGAAAGAGGGAAAAACAAGAGGAGGCTACTTGTGAGCAAACGTGCGATTCACTGGGAAACCACTTGGGGGTGACTTGCCTTGGCCATGTTGTCATCAGGCCAGTAGCGATGACACTTGAGCTTGCCACCCTCAATCTGCATGTGGCATCAGGAAACGTGAGCCAGGCATGACTCGAAAAGAGGCCAACATTGATATGGGCCTCCAAGTTTTGCAAATGGGCACCTCGTTGGTCAGCATGACGATGAGTCGGGCATCGTGCTCGACAACCATTTGCCAGAACCTAAGACAAAATAATCCACCAAAAGGGAACCACGGTCATGGGTGGCACATGTCGCAGAAGCAGAGATTTAGACACGTTGGTAAATACACGTACGACACCAGACTGGCTGGCACGGGGCCTTGGGCCGCAATGTATTTGCGAGGGCCCTCACTGGGAATCCAGTTGGCGTTGACATAATCACAATTGAAGTTCTCCTGTGCACCATGAGCCAAATATTCGCCATCAGTTGTTGCCTTTCCTCGGTTTGGGGCGAGCCGGTGTGGAGGTGAAAGTCAGTGGGTCTGCCACTGCTTGAGCAACGGACTTTGTTTTTCGGAACGAGAACACGCGTTGCATCATAGGCGACAATGTTGGAGTAGCGGTTCAGATGCTGGTTTGCATCGGACCGCGAGGCGGTCGCAGCTGAGCCTGTACATTTTGCACCCGGATAGAAAGGATGTGAGCGCAAACAAAATCACGCGCACCTTCGAAAGGACCGGAGAGAACGACAAGGGGAGGAAAAAACAGAGCGTGTGCTTCGGTGCTCTAGAACCGACTTCTGTTTCTCGTCGCGCGGGACCAACGAGCAAATTGATGAGCAGCTTACGAACCAAGGCCATCCCTTATGGATGTAAAGGTCTCGATAAAACCAGCATTGTTGTTGGCCGAGTGGGCCTTGATTTGGGCGCGCAGCTTTTGCGAGTGGCGCGCTAGAATCAAGCGCAAAGTGCCGAGCAAGGTTGTTGGTTAAGACTGTATCGTGTTACTGACAGCAGAGTAGGCATGGTACGGGTGGCAAGGTTCTACCTGCAAGGTCGCGTAGCTCCTTGAGGTCCTCAGTCGTGGCGCTCTTGAGTTGGGGAGGTAACAGAGTGCTGGGGTCGAAATCTTGGCCGAGCGAGGTGTTGGGATCGTACGCTGCACCCAGGACGGCCTTCAGAAACTCGTCAGATGATTCGGCGTTGGCCGCCGTGCTCAGATCGGCGCCCATTCTGGCAGTGATGGACACGGGTTCCTCTGCCCTTGTGAATTGACGGCGCGCGACAGCACCAGCAACAGTAAGCCAAAGTGTTGGGAACGAGACACTTGAAGCAAGAGAATCAAAGGTTCAGAACAGAGGATGGGAATGGCAGAAGCACAGAAATGCGGGCCGGGCTGCAGTATTGGGGATGGGGAGGGGCTCAGGCGCGCACCCACCTCCTTTGGTCCTGTTGCTGCTGCTGCTGCTGTTGTTGTTGTGTGTTGATGTTGTTGTGGTGGTGATGGGCACGAAAAGCTCCACCCCCTTTTCAGCTATGACTCTTAAGGAAGAAAGAAAGAAGAAGAAGATGGGTGGTTTGCTTGGAAGCCAAAGACCGGATTGGAAGGTACAAGTGCGTGAGAGAGAGAGAGAGCTTGAGAGAGAGCTTGAGAGAGCTTGAAAGCTTGATGAGAGCTTGAGAGCTTGAGAGAGCTTGAGAGAGAGAGAGCTTGAGAGAGAGCTTGAGAGAGAGAGAGAAAGAGAGAGAGAGAGCTTGAGAGAGAGAGAGAGAGAGAGAGAGAGAGAGCTTGAGAGAGAGCTTGAGAGAGAGCTTGAGAGAGAGCTTGAGAGAGAGAAATCTAGAAGGCAGTTACCACTATTCTCTGTCACAGGGCAAAAGAGTCGAGCTGGCAGCAACTTGCATTGAGTTTTTCAAAGGCCAATGAGATGGAAGGAAGGCGTGCCAAGTTCTTGCGCTGCCCTTTCTCGGACTTGCAGGAGCAGCAGCGTTTTGCTATGGGCAGCAGCTTGCATTGAGAGTGAAAGGAAAGGCCTTGGTTTTTGTTGTATTGGTAAGATTGGAAAAATCACACTTCAACCATTCTCTCTTTGACTGAAAGGTTTGGATGTGTTCAGTGCTCAAACTTGTGGTGTGCGACAACTACAACCTGACTCGCAGAGGGCAGTCAACCAACGTCTTGAGGAGCAGGTTGGCAGAGCGGCCAGCATCCAATTTAAATTGCCGTTGTCCGGTGGCAGTTGGGCAAGGCGACCTGACCTGGACTCACTGACAGCTCGACAACCTAACAGCCTTTGACCAAAGTTTCGGCGCCACTCACAAGCTCTGGCGTTATTTGACACAACTTTGTTGAATTATCTATAATTCTGATTGATATTTTTCCACTTTAAAGCATTCGCAAAAAATTGGCGCCGATTAACGGCCAAATCGTGACAAAGATAAAAAAAGGAGAAAATCAGTCGCCAGTTCCCAATTCTTGCTTTTGCTTGATCACGCGCGCGCGCGACCGATAGAGAACAAGACTTGGCCTCGGTCAAATCGTCTGTGGTTGCGCCCAGGTCAGGCAGCTGTAGGTGGTGCAGGATTTGAACTTTAGAAAATTCAAGTCCAGGGTACCCAGCAAAACTCTCGTTTCTCCGGTCACAGGGCGATCGAGCACCTGTTTCCAGCAGCGGGTTCGAGCAAGAGCTCAAACGGTGCTCCCCCTGGGCTCTCGGATCAAAGTCGAGCCGGCCAAACTTTGTGTTCAGCTCACGAGCTGAGCCACACCCCAGTGCCATGGCGTCTCGCACCGTTGTGCCCTCCTATGAGGATGATACTGGTCAGTCACCTCTGCGTTTCAGCTGTCGCTAGATGTCAGCTTGGCGAGAATCTGTTTTTTTTTTATCATCAGCCCTCGGTCGACAGCCAGCTAGCCAGCCAGCCATGTCATATCATGCCGTCCAACTCTCTCTCCTGCGATCAAGTGGTCTGGTGCTCTCTTTGCTTGCTTGCTCATGGGTTGCTCGTTTGCTTAGCCGCCTGCACCCAGTTTCTGAACGAATTCAAATCCAAGAGCAGCTCAGGTGTCTTGCATTTCAAGTATCTCGAGGCCATTGTACGTTTGCGACCTCTTGGGTAGCAGCAACCCTTCTGCCTTTTGTCCTTGTCTCAAATCCTAAACAGCGCACACGCTCCCTCACTTGGGTTGGCGTGCCCCTGCTTTGAACTCATGTAGCAAGAGATTGTTAACCGTCAGCGCAGTGTCATTCAGATTGATCTCAATGACGTCCAGGCGGTGAGTCACTTGGGTGATCTCTTGCTCTCAGATATGCTTCGCTGACTGGCGTGCACGTATTGAACCTCTTGTTGGTGATCCACAGACCCACGGTGACCTGTGCGAGGCCATTATTGTCAACACCAAGCGTTATACTTCGCTGTTTGCTGATGCCATCGATGAAATCGCCAAGAGTCTCGAGCCCACCGAGCAGGTTGGTGCCTCATCCCTCAACCCTCCAAGCTGGTTCATTGTGCGTAGCGGACCCAGATTGACCCTGTCCTTTCCTTAGAATGTGGAGCCCAGCACTTTGGACATCTACATTCAACACCGCAACAGCCTAGCAGCCCAGCACCAGAACGACGGTTGGTTTGATAGGCGTGTGGCATTTTTGCACCAATTTCTACTTTGATTCTCACCTGCTGCATCTTGACCCTGTGGCAATACTCGTGGATAGAGGGCGAACCTGCTGGACACAAATACCCTCCTGAGCTTCTCCGGCGCTAGTACGTCACTCTGCTTGCACAGCCTGTCGTGCAGCCTCGCCCCCAAAGACACTCTGGCTTGACCGTTTGCAGCATATGAGCTCCTCTTGTGTCTGATGCCGTTCCCTCTTTTGTCGGTTCCAGTGAGGTCGTTTTTGAGGTCCCTGATGATGCCAAGACTCTCAGCATTCGCAACGTCGATGCTACACACATTGGCTCACTCGTCCGTGTCGAGGGCATTGGTACGGCGCTCGACCTTCTTGGCCTCGCCCGGTGACACTCCCCCATCAAACTGTTGTTTTTTACAAGTTCATTTCAGCTCATGGTTTCTGGTCGATTGCCCATATGCAGTGACGCGCGCAACCGCCGTCAAGCCGCGCATGACGGTGGCGACCTACACCTGTGATGCCTGCGACCAAGAGATTTTCCAGGAAATCAAGGCACCCAACTTTATGCCCCTCTACGAGTGCCCCAGCGACACTTGTCGGGCAAACCGCCGCCGAGGTCGCTTGCACCTCATTACGCGTGGCTCAAAGTTTGAACGCTTTCAAGAGCTCAAAATCCAGGAGATGGCCAAGCACGTCCCCACCGGTCACATCCCCCGGTCCATGACCGTCTACGTTCGCGGCAGCAGCACCCGGGTGGCAAACCCTGGTGATCAGGTGACCATCACTGGCATCTTTCTTCCCGTGCCCTACTCGGGCTTCCGCGCCATTCGTGCCGGACTTTTGTCAGATACCTACCTCGAGGCCCAGGTCATGCTGAAGGAGAAGAAGACTTACGTCGAACAGGTGTTGACCGAGGAGATGCGCGTCGAAATTGAGGAGGGTGCGCACGATGAGGAAATCTACGACAAGCTTTCCTCATCCATTGCGCCTGAAATTTACGGCCATGACGATGTGAAAAAGGCGCTGTTGTTGCTCCTGGTTGGCGGTGTGGACCGCAAGATGGCTGATGGCATGAGCATTCGCGGTGATATCAACATTCTGCTGATGGGTGATCCTGGTGTCGCCAAGAGTCAGCTGTTGAAGAAAGTGGTGGACCTGGCGCCGCGCGCCGTCTACACTACCGGCCGTGGTTCAACTGGCGTCGGTCTGACCGCATCTGTGACGCGGGTACGTGTTTTTCTTGTCTCGATGAGCTTGTTGCACAGCACCCAAACTGAGGTGGCGCTCCAATTTGTCAACACCCTCTGACCCTGCCTGCGTGTGCACATAGGATCCTCTTACCAATGAGCTGGTTCTTGAGGGTGGTGCATTGGTGATGGCGGATATGGGTGTTTGTTGCATTGATGAGTTTGACAAGATGGACGAAGGGGTATGTCAACACATTCATCGCATCTCTCACGCTCCTCCCACAAAACACAAATGCTCTATATGCTCTTCCCTGTCTGATGCATTCTCTTGAACCGTGCCTCAGCACCAAAGTGCACCTCACGCCGTGGGCCATTGCCACTGTTTGTTGTGCTTTTCATTGCTGTGCCTCGCTTGCCACAGGACCGGACAGCGATTCATGAAGTCATGGAACAACAGACCATCTCCATTGCAAAGGCTGGCATCACGACGACACTCAATGCCCGGTCCGCCATTCTCGCAGCGGCCAACCCCGTGTATGGCAGATACAACATCAAAGTACGCCTATCAATCTCAACTCGTGCCTTGTTGAAGCAGACTACTTGCATCACATTTGATATTTTGGGCAGAGTGGAGGGTGGGACCTTTTGATTTACCTTGCTCATGTTTATCCGCCCTACGCGATTGTCGGAACACATCCGCTTAGAAATCTCCGACACAAAACATCAATCTCCCCGATGCCCTGCGCTCGCGTTTCGATTTGGTATTTTTGTTACTGGATCGTCCCGATCAAGACGCAGATCTTCGATTGGCACAACACATTACTTACGTCCATAGTCACAACGACTTTCCAGAGCTGGAGTTTGAGCCCCTCAGCAAGGACTTTGTGCGGTATGTCAACTTTTTGAGTGAAACGCATTGCCGAGATCGACTCCAGTGTGCTGGGTTTGATGAGCCGGTGCCTGTTTTCTCTTGCGATCGCAGCAACTACGTGGCACTGGCCAAGCAGTATCAGCCCTACATCGAGCCTGACATGGCCGAGCAGATGGCTTTGCGTTACGCACGCCTTCGCGAAACTGCACAGGATGACCCCAACGAGGGGCACGTCACCGCACGAATGTTGTTGGCTATGCTCCGCTTGAGTACGGCCTTGGCACGTCTTCGCTTCAGTGACTCAGTGGTGATGGATGACTTTGATGAAGCGCTGCGCCTGATGGACGCATGCAAGGTGGGTTCAGAGGGCTGCTGGCTGATGAACGAACCAACTTTTAGTTGGGCTATCCTCACCAGGCACACATGTTCCTCCCACCCTGCTCCTTTCTGAATACCAGGCTTCCGTGCGGGCTGCCAGCAACGCTAGCAAGCGGACTCGCATCAATCCTACGACGAGTATTTTCCGCCTCATTACCAAATTATTTGAGACATCCGGCGAGAACAAGATTAGGTTTGTGTCTACTGTTCTGCATATGCTTGTCCGTTGCAGCTCAAAGGCTGCATATCGGATGGTAAGTTCAGCAGATCTCACGCACGCATGTCCTTGTTTTCTTCACAGCTTGGCAGATGCGCAGGCGCGAGCTCGCGGCGATGGTTTCAATATGCAGGAGTTCAATGAATGCCTTCACGTGTATGAAGAGCTGAACGTGCTGCAGATTGATGCTGCTCGCACCAGCATCACATTGGTTCGATAGATCAGGAGATGGACCAACGAGGTGGGCCTTGGATCTTCAGTCATGGCCAATACATGGGCTGTTCTCGACGGCGTGCGTCTGGTTCGGCTCTTTGTGTGTTTCATGTTTTTGTTGTGTGTGGTCCAGCGTTTTTGCGTTTTGCGCGTGAATTGATTTTGGTTGCACTGCTCTTTTCATGCTCAGAACAAGGGGGGGGGGGGGGGGTTTAAATTTGATTAACATGTATGTAACATGTAAAATGTCAATGAAGTTGGAAAGGGCTTGCGGGGATGCCACGCAATTCAGAGCGAGTCCAGAAAGCGCCACTCCAGGAGTCGGTCGGCCTTGTGCTCAAGGAGAAAAGTGCGGGCAGCAGACTCACTCAACTGGGGGGGCAGTGCAAATCCGCGGCGATGCTGACGGCATATGGTAGACCAAGGGCCAAGGGCGGCACACACGTGAGGTTGACACCCTGTCCGCAAAGCGCAGCTCACGAGACTCCAAGACTTAAGGGGATGACAGCGAGTGGCGGGTCATCATGAACACACCTGGAGTAGCGCCTCGCGCGGCAGATTTTCTGCAAAGTCCATCTGAATCACGTCAAAGAGACGACGAGTTTCATAAACGGCGGCTTTGGGGGATGTGCTGGCCAGGCGCAAGAGTACTATCAACAAGGGTGAAAGAGAGCAAGAATCAACAACCGCCCTGTTCCAGAGCGCTCGCTACGCGCAGACCAGTCCGCCGATCTCTGCCTGCGTCCTCTCATGCGCTGGGACGGTGGAGCTCACGTACAGGCGATACGAGCCGCTGGCGGTTGATGCTGCGGTGATAGGACGTGCAGCAGATAGATCAATTGCAAGGCGGGATCGACATCACGCTGAGGTCGAAGCTCCTGTTGAAGCGCAGCGCGGAGGGTTTTCCTGAACAAGATGGCGAGATTCGTGAAAAAAAAGGGCAAGGATCGGGCGGTGAAGCTGGTGCGAAGGTGGCGATGGTGCAAAAGTAGGTCTACCTGGAGTCTGAAAGCTCGATCACAAGCGGTTCGAGCTGAATGCTTTGGTCAAACTGAACTATATTCCGGCTGCGCAGCTCTTTGAGGCATCGGGCCAAGAACTGGCTTGATACTGCCAAACGGAGGAGGTGACATGAGTGGCGTGCTATGCCATTGGATGAAAACAATGCGTGGTGGCTTTTTCCATGACTGCCGACGGCGATTAGCTGCGAACCTTGGATACCATTGAGCTCCACAGACCGCTGGGTGGAGGCCGAGCTGCCCTGTACACGCCGAAAGGTAAAGGTGATCGCGAGCTGAGGTTGACAGGAAGCTCTTCCCCGTTCAAGTATGCAACAACTCACCATGATCGTTTTGTGCACCAAAGGTCAATCACGGCCACATGGCTGGCGTTGTGATGGAAGCGGCGCTGCCAACGGCGCGTCAAGGTGAGAGATCGAGCAAACACTCGTAAAGGAAAAAAAAAAATAAAAAAATATGACGGATCGCTTAATTGCAGCAGATGGGATAGTTGATGCAGTTTTAATATACCCACAATGACGAGTTAGTGCAGGTATTTGGGTAGTTTACTACGGCGTGTTAGCTTTTTTTTTTTTTGTCATTGTCATTTCCATCTCAGTCGTCGTTGGTGGCAGTGGCGGTGATACCGCTGTTTCCTGTCGTTCAACGGGCTTCTCCCTGCGCAGGGGTTGGGGGTTTTCTCGAAACGAGCTTGTTTGCCGTGTCGCGCAAGTTGTGGACCACCACATCCCGCTCTGTTTGCAACCCGCACCCCTCCCCTGTTTGTGACCAGTTCAAGATGGCCGAGGCCGTACTGGCGCAGGATCCTCAGGCGTTGGTAGTGTTGGATCACAGCGTGCTCGAGACGTTGGAGAGCGTTCCTAATCTGTATCAAGAAGCAATGAAGGTGATTCACGAGAAGATTGCGGCGATGCAGGCGTTGCGCAGCCAGCCCACGCTCAATGGTGAGCAAATGCAGGAATTTGGTGACCTCGCCCATGGCCTGAAGAGCGGCACCTGCATGATCGGCTGTGTACGGTTGGCACATGTTTGCAACCAGCTCGGTGCGTGAGAGGTAGTTGGCCCGATCAATGTGCGCGTTTATTGCCTTGACGGGCACCCAATGACACTCAGTGCCTGGTGCTTGCTTGTGCACAGAAATCCTGGGGCGCTTCGGCCCCCAGCAAAACCCAGCACGGCTCGTGCAGATTTATGATCAAGTGCTCCCCAACGTCCTGCGGGTATGTGTCACCCAAACCTTGAACAGTCTGTTTGTTTGCGGATAGGATGAGGCGGCAGCTGAACTAAAGCACTGAAACAAGAGCCAGTGCTCACTCTTTGGCTGCCATGCTCGATAGGACACGGTCCAGCAGCTGCAGGAAAGCCTGCTTTGAACTCTACGCGCCGGTGCCTGACCTCTTGTAATCCTCCTTGGGCTTGCACGGCGCCGTGCGTTGCGTTTGCCTTGTGTCTGCCCCGTCACCAGGGCGCCATCTCGCTGTACATGATGCTAAGGGTTGGCATGTTTTTTTTGTACAAAGCTTCGTTTTTGTTTTTTCTTTCTTTGACTTCCCATTGCAAATCATTTTTTTTTGGTGGTATTCTGGATGTATTCATCGTTTCCATTGACAACTTGGCTGTGCCCAGGGAAGACAGAGAAGCAAATGAATTGCTTAAGCAATGGCGCAAGGCCGTCTGATCTTTAGCAAAATTGTGAGGGCATCGGGAATGGGCACATTGACCAGGGTTGTGCTCTTTTCATTTAGTTGTTGCGACGTCCCCGGCGCCGGGGCTGGCGCGCTTCGTGGCTGCGAGCGCGGCTCCTGGCGCGGCCACGTGCTGATGATGCTTCATTTTGGGCACCACGGTCATCGTTATGATGGCGTTGATCGTGTTCTTCGTCGCCATTTTGAGCGCGCGGACGATCGTAGTCGCGGGTATGCTGTGTCGTACGCCGTTGGCCAACCTCTTTATCATCACGGTCATGCGCTTGGTTGGGGTCGTCAAAGACGGTGATGCTGTAGTGTGCGTCTCCAGATGGTACAGGGTCGCTAATAACAACCAGCTGCCAGTCGGGTTCTGGCACAAGGTCTGGGGAGTATCGGTAGTCGGTCTGCAGGCGCACGACAGGCGACTCAAACACAAACATGCAATGGCTCTCGACAACGCGGTCGGGTAGGTCTTCGCTGTGAGCTGGTTGACTAGGGCCTGTGGCTGGCTTGGCGTCAGTCTCTGCCTCTGTGGACTTGGTGCCAGGGTCTGGGCTAGTGGTTAAGCGGTGCAGCTCCTCAGGGGTCCAATGTCCCAAAACCGTGGTGCGCAGACGCGCCTTCATAATCATAATAACATAGGCCGTGGATTCTTGATTCTGGGGGTCCTCCTTCATGCGGCCCACGAGACCCTCCATCTTTGCATCGTAAACTTCCATGTCCACATGTTGCGTGTTTGTCTAGCCCACATGCAGGTCAACCACCAAGGGCCAACACAACGTCATGAGAAATCGATGCGATTTGCGTTGGTTGACGGCATGGTCGGCAGCTGTACCTTCATGAATTTTTCCAGTTTCTGCATGACAGTGGGGTGGATGGCCCGGCGCATGGCGCGCAGGCCCGATACGTCACGGGCATTGACCGTGTCCAAGACGGCCTGGTAGGCGGCGGCAGCATCCTGTTTGTGGTGTCAACACGTCAGGCGAGTGGCATTGGTGGAAGCGTGTTCGTGGTCAAGGAAGTGCGGGAAAAAGTGCTTTACCGGCTTCGTACCTTTGTGAATTCCTCCTCCTTGAAGCCCCATTGGGAACGGAGCTGGGACAGTTGGAACTGGCGCTTAATCCAGTTGAGAAAGGTGCGTTGCTGTTGATGTACAGCCGGCGCCAGACGAAGCGCGCGCGCGCGGGCCAGTGGGGCTGCGGTTTGAAACCACATGACCACCTTGTTTCCTTACTTCGGCAAGAGATACAGAGCCTCCCTGACTGACAAGCTTGCTTTTCCCCACCAGACCACTGAGTGCGGGGCCGTCGAGACGGGTGCCTGGTCGTCGTCTCACGTCCTGTTTCCTGACCTGAGGGCAGAGGGTTGGAGCTGTTGACGATGACGATGATGTGCCACAACTCACAAAGAAAAAACTACAACAGCAGAAGAAGAAAGCCAGCACAGTGCAAGAATGCACAACAACGACAACAAGCCCGGAAAACACTTCCAGCCATAACGCTATTCGGGTTAAGCAGTTGACAATAACACCGTGTTTCGAGGCAATAACTTCATCTTCATCGTTCCCTGCGCTCTAATCTGACATCTGACATCTGACATCTGACAATTGAGGGGTTCTTGTGACCGTTACGAACCGCATAAAGCAACAGAACCAACAATTTGGGCGATTGTCATTCTCACAGGCACACAGACTGGCAGGACCCCGGGGCACAGGCACTCAGATTACCGGCCAGGATGGCGATTGAGGACCAGATGGATGCGCTGTATTTGCAGAACATCGAAGAATACATCAACGACAATGATGAAGTGGTTAGTCCGTTTGATGGCGAGGCGCGCATATGCGCAACCAGACCTCACCGTTTTCGCTGCTCTGGTCCCAATCGCCTGCCCCACAGGTCACGTACAAGGTGTTGAGTCGTCGACTTGGCGTTCCAGCCAACGTTGCCAAGAGGTAACCCACCTTTGGATCGCTTTCTGGAACGGCGCATCCCCTTGAGCCTGAGCCTCGCACGGCGTGTGCCTTGCTTCACAATCTGGTTCCGTGCCTTGCTCCCCTTTGCCACAGAATGTTGTTTGCCTATTACGACCAACACCGCGGTCAAGTTCAGGCGCTTTTCTTCTTGTCGGGCGTCGACGAGCACAGCCGCATGGTGTGCTCTGTGGTTTCCGAATCTGAGCTTGCTGCGCTGCAACACAAACTCAAGCAAATCACGAGTGTTCATGTCTACGCGCTACAAGCCAGCCTGCCCAAGGTCCGTTTGGCCCCTGTTGTTCTGATCGTGGAGCAGCAGCTGATCTTGCATGTACCCCTGCATCCATGGCTCCGTTCATTTGCCATGTCGAAGACCACTCAATGAAACACCAAAAACAACCTTAAAACACACAATTTAGGATGCGGCTGCTGTGCTGTACAGTGCAGACTATGATGCAGTCAAGGCCAATCTCGGCGCGATGCAATCGTACGTCCCTTTGCAGCACCAGTGCAAAAAGCCATATTTTCCCGCCCAACCTGAGACATCTTGTTCGCCTCACGATAATGGTCTTCGTGCCGTGCTACCTCGCGCAACCTCACGCTCTTCTGCATGGCCATGTTTCTTTGTTTAAACTGTTGCTCTAGGTCTAGTGGCATCGCCTGTAGCGATGTGAGAGCCGTCAATTCGTTTGATGAAGCCTCAGAGGAGAATGAGGCAGATGAGCTTCGACTAGGTGCGACGAGCTGCCGCTTAACTCTGACCATCTCCCTCCTGATTGTATTTCGTTCTGGGTTCCGACTTTTTTTTTTTTTTTTTTTTTTCTTGCTCGTAGGTTCCACCCTGCCACCAGCCGTCGCCAAGGTCGGCGGCGTTGCCCCTCCCAAACACAAGGTCAGTCAAGGCTAAGCCTGCTTGTCAGTATGTTGGCAAACCCATTGGGCCATTTACCTGTGGTGCCATGTCCCCTGTAACGGGCCATCGCATGCGCTTTCTCCTGCCTTCAGGGCAAGGCTACATCAGTCCAATCTTTTTTTGGACAAGGAAAGAAGGACAAAGGTGCAGCTACCACGCCCACGGCGTCGACATCATCTTCGAAAAGCACTCCCGCTTCCACAAATGCTACAAGTACAACAGCCAAGAAAGAGGCCAAACCCAGTAAACCCAGCCTGTTCAAAACTGCCAGCAGCAAATCAGCGTCAGCAACCACCGCCAAGCCTGCCACCCCTTCGGTAAGCGCTCGCAGCTCGTGTGCCCTCGATGGCTGCCATATCGTATTCCTGACTGCCTTGCGGCCGTGAAATTATGCGGATTGAATTCAAGGCACCCACACAGAGTGAGCCCACCCCAAAGAAAAGAAAGGGCGTGCTTTTGGATGACTCCGATTCGGAGGATGACACCGCAGCGCCAAGCGCCCGGCCGCCCTCTCACAATAAGACCCCGACCGAGTCCACCAAGCTTCAGAACAACGAGGGCGAACAGCCTGCACCAAAGACCGAAAAGAGTGAGCCTCAGAACAAAGAAGTGAAAACCGCATCGCGAGCCAAGGCACAGACAGAAAAGCAGGCCAAGAATTTAACAAAGGCGTCTGGTGACGATGCCAAGCGTGCTGTGTCGGATACCCCAAGCCCCAGTGCTAAGAAACCATCGCAAGCGCCGGTTCAGAAGAAGTATCGTATGGATGCCAATGGTCGAATGGGTACGATCAACCATCACCGTCTTGCTCCGGAGCGTGTCACCTTGCAAATGATGCGAGCCCCAGTGCTTCCGCGCGACACGAGTCAACCGCTTTGCTCACGCGTGCGAACCGGCTTGTTCTGTCGGGTTTGGGCGTTTTGACAGTGGCCATTGATGCGGCAGACGCGGCTCCGAATCCAGATGAAGCCGCTTCAACCTCATCCGCCTCCAGTACCGCCCAGAGTGGATCAAGTGCACCGAGTACTGCTACGGTGAGTCTGTCCGTTCGCTTTGGATTTGCGATTCTTCCATGCTTCTCAATTCTGTACCGACTTCCAATGCCCATGCTACTCTTTCAGGGAACAAGCACAGGAGCAGTGGCGGCAGCAGGCAAAAGCTTCAAGTTGGCTGAAAAGACGGACGAAGGTACTTATTCACCGTCCCTTGGCACTGGCCACACTCTTTGGCGCTTGACAAGTCATCATGCCCATTGGTGCATCTGGCAAACGGCGCACCGATTCCTGATGCTGCCTCGCGACCACGTTGCAGAGCTGCTGGCCAGCATTCCACGCGTCAAAGTACTCACGACGAAAAAGAACAAGAACTTTGTCAACGACAGTGGCTACCTGGGTTAGTCCTGTCGTCGGGGAGCCGAGGTTAACGGCTGCGTTGTCCCCCTCGCAGTGTAGCTTCTCATCCTTCTCATGCCGCATGTTGTCTCTGGTCTGCCCTTCTTTCCGTGCGTCTATACATGGGCGCTTTAGTGACGGAGGAGCAAACAGTGACAGAAGAAGTTGCGTTGACAGAGGACGAGATTCAAGCTGAGTTTGCGCGACTCAAGGCAAAACGAGACCGCAAGGCGAGCGAGGCCATTAGTGCCGCAAGCGCTGGCAAGAAGAAGGGGGGCTCCACCAAGAAGAAGCAAGCTTCGATTGCCAATTTTTTCAAAAAATGATGCTAGCGAGTATTTTGAGTCAATGCAAGAAGAGTTGATCTGGTTGTGTGAGTGTATTTGTAAATTGACACATGCAGAATTATGTGGCGTCTCAGACGTCAATCGCGAGCCCCGGGCGCAGCCCGTGCCGCAGCCCGCGCTACAACTCGTTCCTGGACTCCTTGTAGTGCTTTAAGCCACTGTGCTTGATTTCCTGCTAGCACCGGGCTCAGGCGTTCCAGGCATGCCACCGCCTATAAACGTTGTTCAGACCATCAGAGGGCACGGGGTGCCTCGTTAGCGTTGAACATGTCATGTTTGTAGCCCTAACCTAGCCGTGGATGCACCAGGTGCGAGGAGGTGGGTCAAACCTTCTTCTCATACTCCGGGCTCGACACGTGGTTGAGTGCCTGTAAGAGGGCGCTCCGGGCCAATTCGACGTTGTGATCTGGGTAGTAGTAGCCGCAATCCTAGCTCACCAAGAGTTAGTTGCAAGGCAAGATATCCCACACAGAGCCCGAGGACAGTGAACAGTGTGAGCCGGAGCGGGTCGTTTGATTGTATCACAAGGGTCAGCGATTGACGTCACTGACGTGGAAGTGAGGGTTGTTATGCACCAACGGGAAGCGGCGCTGGAGCGCTGCTAGCTCCGTGTCCCAGCGCGCGGCATCGTCCCAGTTGTGACTCAGCACCACATCTGTATGGGTCGTCAAAAACCAGTCCATGTCGTAGGTTCGCTCAAATGACATTCGTCCAGCCCTGTAAGCCTTGCTGCGTAATGAGACCATGGCACGATACTGCTCGTTGGCGGCCAGTTTCTGTGTGTTGCAAATATAGGCCGAGGCAAAGCTCTCCGGATCAACCCGGAAGACGGCTTCAATCACCAATATCGGAAAGATGGAGTTGCGGAAAACGCCGTCGTTGGGCTCAAAGACGGCAATACGTTTGCGGGATGGGTCGCTGGGCTGCCAGAACCAGCGCGCATCACTCGCTCCTTCGACCCCGATCTGCGGTGGTGGTTGTGGGGCAAAGAGGCGAGGTACGTAAAAGGCTGGCGAGCCGTGCAAAATCTCGTAAAAGGTGGTTTGTCTAGAATTCGCATCGTCAAGAGAAGGCCGCGAGCGCAGTTTCAAGTGAGCGTCTTGGTTGCGCTATGTCTGGCGTAGCGAGCTACGATCGGTGAGCGCGCACTGACGCCTCGATCGTCGTCAGAACTGCAAGATTGCTCCTGGCAAACCCCAGGTCCGCGGCTACAGCTGCATCGGTGGCTGGGTAGAGGATCTGAGAGGCAAAGGCATTGTAGTCGTCCTCTCTGCGATAGCGAGCCACCTAGCAGGAAAGGACAGAGCGGTAGCAACCCGATGAAGTGGCCCGCCTGCTTGACCAAGGACACGTAGCGCGCAACACAGGATGCTGACGCTCCAATTCAAACTTTTGTCACGGAAGACATTAAGCCACACCTGGATAGTGCTTTCCGTCAGACTAGCTTCAAAGTCTTCAGCTAGCGCATCCACCTGATCAAGTGGTGGCGGGGTGATGGGGTGAGTGGGAGCCCTTGCAAGATACCTGGTGGCCAGGACTCAAGACCAACACACTACCTCAAGCAGAAAGTCATGATCAGCATCGATCTGAGTCAAGGCAGAAGCAGCCACAATCACTGGGATATTGTGAGTGGCAAGCAAGCGGCGCACTGGATGCGCAGTATCACCGCCGGTGGAGTCGTCCACCAAGCCCCGGAGCTCGAGGTGGCCCATTCGCTGCAAGCCCAGCAACAGACTCACAACAGGAGTGCATTCAGCAGAGGAGGTATACCGACAGTGGATCCAAGCACGTGGGGGCTCTGATAGCGTCGCCGAACACAACAAGGCTGCCATGACAAGCCGCAGACCCTGCAGCCACAGACCCTTGTGCCCCATCCCTCACCGCTTCCACTCGCCAAGAGAAACCAGAATTTCTGTTAAATTTTGAAGCGCCAAAAGCCCATTACTAAATGTAAATGCTGACAATCCTTGGGAGAATTTCGAGTTTTTTTTTTCAAATTTTTTTTTTTTCAACGGAAGTTGAGATAGGAACGATGGCGCGTACCAAGCAGGTTCCTGGGCCGTCTCCGCGTAAGACGCGAGGTCAAGCAGCGGCAGACACAGCGGCAGCCGAGGCCATGTCTCAGGTGGCACCGCCGATGACGCAGGAGGAGGACGAGGACTACGATGCTGACGTCAATGACCTGGCCCCACCCGCCACGCAAGATGCTGGCAGTGCGTCTGAGGAGCGTGAAGAGCCTGCGGTTGATAGGGCTGAGGCTGACACACGTTCCGAGAAAGAGACGCCTGCTGGTCCTGGCAAGGCTAGTAGCAAGAACAAAGACAAAGGCAAAGGCAAGGGCAAGGGCAAAGGCAAGGGCAAAACCACAGTCATAGCTGCTGCCGTCTCAGAGGCGACCGCCACAAATGCACCAGCGGCGGGCACTGAAGTGCAGGGCAAGCCGCCGGCATTGGACGTCGAAGTGACTCAGGCCATGGAGGGGCGACCAATCGCTAGCTCAGATGAACGCGCTACCACCCCCACCACTTTTGCGCCCCCTGCCAATCAAGTTGTACGCGTCGGCGCAAGTCTCTTCTCTCACGGCCACGGCCGCCCCATCTACGTCTACATGGCGCCTTGCCGCGACCGTCATCGCCTCGAAGATGCCGCTACGGTATGCTGGTGCTTGCCGCCATCATTTCCATACGTGACACTCACTTGGTGCTCTTGCTGCTGAAGCGGCGACTCACTTTTTCTGTCCTGTTGGGCTTCGGCCTTCTAGCAACACGGCGCCATCTTCACCAACAAGCAGGACGCCGACCTTTGGTGCGCGCCGCTCTAATTTTGATGCTCTCTCGCTTAATCCTCATATGGCGTGGTCGTGATCCTGCACAGCCTGTCATGCAAGGCTTATGGTGCTTGTAGTCCGCTGTCACTCATCCTTCTGTCCATGTCCTCATTCGCCTTGGCCTCTTTGTTGTGCCGCATTTTTTGATACCCAAACACCGGGATTCCAGCTTCCTTCCTGCAGGATCATTGGCGCCAACGTTGGGCTGGTTTTCTGCTGATTGGCTGGAAGAATGCATTCAGCAGAAGCAACTCCTCGACTGCCGCATGTTTCTTCTTAAAGCCTCCAATCCACGCAAGCGCGCGTAAGCCCAAATAGACCGAGTCGCGGAGAGCTCTTTTCTTCGTGCTTCCCGCCTCTCTTCCTCTTCAGGTGTCAACTCGTTGGTTCAATGTTCACTGTTTTCTTTCGGGCCCGTTTATTTTCACGCTAGGCGTGCCCGTAATTTTGATGAAGACGATGACCGCGTGATTGAGGATTTCGTCTCGCGCAATGGTCATCTGGCTTCCTACAATGGCACGGCGCTGTGGAAGGCTATGGTTGACCAACAGGTGTGTGCATTCTCGTTTTATCCCGCAGTTCTCACTTTTGCGTCTTGCTGTTGAGCTGCTGCTGTTGCTGGTGGTGGTGATGACGACGATGATGATGACGGTGTGCTCATCACTCTATCCGTCCAGGTGTTGGTGGGTCGTGATTGGCAATCCTTGAAGAATCGCTTTGTCAAGGTTATTCAGCCTCGTCTTATGCATGTAAGTCGCCTCGCAAACTAGCTGTTTCCTCTCAAGAATGGTCGAACACGGTTTCGACTCATACACTGTGTGCGCTAGACTGGCAAGGTGCTGCCTCGTCCCTCGACACCCACCAAATCGGTCTGTTCTTGTGCATCCACCCATTGAGAATTTTCGAGGCAGTATACGCTTTGTCAGTTTCCCCTCCTCACCAGTCTTGCCTTGGCTCTGGCGCTGGCCCTGATAGCCACACCATACCCGTGACTTTCTCGAGTTTCAGCCCGATCGCAGTCGAGTGCTCAATCTGGATTCGTCTCAAGCCCCACCGGTGTGCTGCTGTCTGATCGGCCTGTGTCAAAAAGTGTACCCACAACTTACAGTTCTTATCTTGTTTACATGCCACGGTTTAGCCAAAACGAGCGCTGATCACATCGCAGGACCCACTCGTGTCGACGCTCCAGGTATGTTCTGCTCCCTGTATTCTCAACACAACCACATACACACAGAAGCACACGCGTGGTCTGCTCCACGTGTGCCTCGTGTGAGCTCAGCAACTTTGGACCGGGTTAGGTGATTCGTGAGACCACCACGGCCAAGGATTTGGATATCCTCGTGGCCTTGCACCGTGCCTCAGGCGTGGTTGAGCAAGCCATTCGTCTGCTTCGAAAGGAAGACCTGGGTATGTGCTCGCACTCGAACTCCTTATGCCCATGCTTATGCCAGCGCAATATACTCAAATGGCTAGGGTGTGGTCTTTCTTTGTCGTAATCTCGGATGTGTTGCCAAACCCATCAATGCAGACATCAAGGTCTGGGACGACCCCAATGCCGACAAACTTCTGCTATCCGAAGATCCGGCTAACATGATGCCTCTCACTACATCCTATGGCTTTCGTATGTACATCTCGTGCCCATGATGGCTGTCTCCCAACCCCGCTGATTGGATTGTTGACACTGGATGTGTAACTAGGCGAGTCGGATCTTCATCGACGTCTCGATTATCTGGACTCCTAGCCAAACAGCCAAATGCTGCCTTCTGCGTCCACCGGCGAGTAAATTGTCGCACTTGGGCAGCCAGTACAAAAACAAAAGCAAAAACAAAAACAAAAACGAAAAGAAAAACAAGAATGAAACAACGAGTTAATCAAGGGAGGACACCACGACACGAACTCCTTTGCATCATCCTACGCCAAAATCAAAACCACAATATACGTTTGATTGATGAATATCTCAACACACATGCGCACACAATCAACACCCTCGCCTCATAGCCCTAAGTAGACATCATGGCCTGCTATATATTGAGGCCTTGACCAACACAAGTTGCAAACCAACTTTTACCACATACTCTGCGCACCAAGCCAGCCAACCACGACGATGACGTGGTGGCGACAGTCTGAGCATCAAACCCTTTGCACGTCTTTAGTCCCTGCCATATACGTGAAACGCAATGGGCACGACTAGCAACAAAAATACCACAAAGGCCACCATTTGGCCGCTGGAAACAGAAAAACCTCGCTTGCGCGCGTGTCGCTGCTGCACCGCTCGAAATCGTTCCTGTGTTTTTTTCACGAGCTGGCCATCATCTTCAGTGTGTACAGTGCTGGAGGCAAGGCTGTCTCTTCCACGGCCAGACTGAACTTTGCTCGGTTGATGGCGTTCCTCAGGGATGCCCAGAATCTGGGGTTGGGTGAACAAGCCTCCAGGATGACGGGCTCTCAGCTCCAGATCTGCACCAGCCTCCAGGTTCAACAGCTCGACTTGTGAGAGAGTTGTATTTGCCACGGTTTGATATTCAAGGCCCAGTTGAACGGTGCGTTCGGTATCCGGGCTGGTACGTACACAACACGTGTGCGCGGTGCGCACAGCGCGCAGTTGCACTTCCAGTAGCTGAGGGCTGGGCCAGGTAATGTGCACCGATTTCCGTAACGTATCACTCTCGGTCTTGGGTAGCTCAGGGGCTGCTACTGGTGCAGCCATGGTGGAGCATTCCATCGGATCTGAAGGCATGCCCCAGCCGATCTCATTGCGATCGCGCGCACGCAAGGTGTAGTTCTGAGAGGGTTCCAACTTTGTCAAGCGCGCAGTCTTGGCCCGGCCAGCAAAGGCAATGTTCTCTTCGCCAGTGCCGAGGCGAAGCAGCACTTCTGTCTCCAAGACATCGGCTTGGCTTGTCCATTTCAGCTTGATGGTGTTATGTGTGGCGCTGACGATTTGCAGAGCTGGGGGTGGAGGGGGGAGCTTTTGCGTGCGCACATTCACTGCTGCACTCGCCGCACCAACTCCGACCTTGTTGCCGGCCTGGCAGCGTATCTATAAGCAGATTCAGGGATGAGGTGAAACTGACGGGCAGGAGGGCAGCACGCCAAGTGTCAACAGACCTTGTGTCTCGTGTCGGGCTGCAAATTGGGCAAGGGAATGCGGGTTAAATCCGTTTCCTCGCCTACTGTCACGTCCAGAATTCTCGATCCATCAATCTCGAATCTAACACAGACACAGTCATGGTCAAGCTGCTGTCAATGTAGGCGCGCGCGCGCGCGCTAGGCAAGAAACCCCAACGAGAATTCCACGCGGCTTGTTGTCTGATCGTCAAACGCACCGAAGAAGCGTGATGGGAGCGCCATTGTCCAGAGGTAGGTCTACGGCCACACGGGCTTCATTCGAGGATACGTCGATGACGCGCAGGGGGGGCATCGCATCTGGTGCAGTGGCGCAGGTGGTCAAGGCCACAGCCTTGCTTGGCAGGGCCATGCCGACAGCATTGTGGCTTTGCACAAATAGTTGATAGTCCGTACAGGCCTTCAACGTCTTCAGAGTGACAGTGGGCGCTTTGACCTTGGTGGACGTTTGCTCCTGCCCAGTGATGGCAACGACTGTGTAGCCTTCAATCGCACTGCCATGTGCAGGCCCATCCATCCAGGATAACACCACCTCGCGGGGGGCATTTTTAACCACTTGAAGATTGGTCACCGGGGCTGGGGCATCGGCCAAGGTTGTAAAAGTACAAGGCGCACTCCAGTCGCCGTCTCCAGCACGATTTCGACAGCGCACTCGAACTTGATACGGGGTGCCAGGAGCAAGGTCATCAAGCAAAACACTGGGCTCTGTGGCATCGAGTAGCAACGGATTGCTCGCACCGTCGGTCGCGCCTTGTGGGGTACACTCGATCGAGTAGCCAGACAGTACGGCCCCGCCACCAAAGGCGGGGAGCGACCACTGTACGAGGGCACTCCGCGCAGTAATGCCACTTGAAGTGACATCTTCGGCAGGGCCGGGCACGTTGGGGGCTGTGGTAGTGCGCGTTAGCTGAGACCAGTCAGACTGGCCACCCACATCTACCGTAGCCATACGAAAGTGATAGACGTGCCCTGCTTTCAAGTCTTGGCAGCGACACGACAACTCTGGTCCAGCGTACACGACAGCGAATGGCTCGCGCGGTTGATAGTTGAACGTGGTAGTGCCCTATGGAACAGCGCCAGGCATAGACGCGGTTAACTTGTTGCGTGTGTACACGCAAGTGGTATGCACAACGTTCAAGTGCATAACGACCAACACTGTTAGCGCAGATGAGTACCCGAATGGCATCTGACCTTTTTGGTGATGGTTTGAGCTGGCTGACCAGCATCACGCTGCACAAGGTAGGAAGGGGGGGTGTCATTGTCCTGAGCGGATGGATGCACGGTCCACTCAAGTGCGAGGGCGTCTTGAGTTGGTCGACCCAGGACACGGGGAGCGCCAGGCGCAGCTGGTCGTTCAGGGCGCGTCTTGATATCAAGGACTTCGCTAGCTGGACCCTTGCCTCGAGGGTTGACGACACGCAGTCGAAACCGATAGTCACAGTTTGGCGTCAAGTCCACCACCTTGTAGTTGGTATCAATGCCAGTATATACTGGTCGGAAGCCTGTGAATGGAGAGAAGGGTGACCATTCCAGGCGCATGTCGGGGATGAGCCAGCCGGATAAATGCGTGAGCGCGAACAGGGAGAGAATACTCACCGTAGCCGCTATCATCATCCATCTCCAGGATGTACTCTGTCGCATTTTGAATGGCTTCCCAGCTAAGGTCAACCGTCGTCTGCGCTACACTATTGCAAGACACTTGCGCGGCATGTCTACTCGCAAGCAGTTGAGCAGTGAGGCGAGTGGTGTATGGGGTGATGCGTTGAGACAGCAAAATCAATGAAAACAACAAGGAAAAGACGGGGTGCGACGCACTTGACTTTGGCCACCATGGTCCGAATCTCAAGCAGAGACGATGGTGCCGATGTGCCATGTTCATTCTCCGCCATGACGAAGAATCGATACGAGGAATCGGGTTTGAGGTCAGTCAACTAATGGTGCGCGCATTGACAAACGGTGAGGTGTCATTCATTCATGCGAGGGCAACGAACAGGCATGCGTGCAATGGCATCGCAATGTTTGTAAGCACGGCACGTCACTTGCATTGTGACGTCGTTCCTTGGTCTCGATGAGGACCTCAAAGTCCTGCGGGGACCGCTCACTCAACCCGTTGTCCCACGCTAAGATATAGCGGGTGATGGGGACTCCGCCAATGTCATCCGGCTTGCTCCACTTGAGGGCAATGCTAGTGGCCTTCCGCCCCGTGCATGTGAGAGCCAGTGGCGGCAGCGGCGGTCCCGAGCGTGTGGTGCCACTGCGATCGGGCCGAGCCCAGTAGAGAGCAATTGGAGGTTAGATTTGGGGCGGCACACAGATCGCAAAATGCATTGCAGATCGGCAAGCAACATGGAGCAGCACACGCACGTGACGACTGCAGAGCAAGTGAGCATGTCCTGACGCAGGGAAGGCTGGACGCGAAAATAGTACGTTGTGTTGCTTGTCAAGTTCTAAACAAGGGGGTTAAGCGATGCAGATCAGCAAAGAGGCTCGGGTGCTTTGGGGTGGGGGAAAAGGAGGTAGCGATTCTCAGGGTCAAGACTGGACGACAAGACTGGGTGAAGAAAGGCAGAGCGAACCTCGACGACGCAAGTCATGGCTGTTGCACTGGCATCAGTGAGCTTGGTACTACCGAGAGACGTGATATCATTTTCAGCAAACGCATCATTGTGACACATCTGCATGTCAAAGACCGTGTCCGGATTGGCCGCGGCGGGAAGGGTCCAGCGCAGGTGAATCTCGTGTTGCTCTTCGCTTGTGACGCCAAGATCGGAAACAAGAGGCAGGGGTGGTGCTGGTGAAGGGGTTGATGCTGGTGCATGGTCATTGGTGTCAGCAGCAGGTGTGGCGGCGGCAGCGGCGGCGGCAGCAGCAGCAGCAGCAGCAACAGTGGCGTCGGACGCTCGCCGTCCCGATGTACTTGAGCGGCGCGATGAGTTGGAGGCACTGTTGCGTCGAGCGCCATGGCTTTGGCTTGATGTGCCACGTTTGGAAGTTTGCGGCGGGGCGGTCCCGTGGGCGTGGGCAAGAGCGTGGGCATGAGCATAAGCATGAACGTGAGCGTGGGCGTGGGCAGGAAGCAGCCCATTGTGATGAGTCATGGGTTGGGAATGGTGGGCATAGACATGGGCGTGGGCAGTGGGAGCATATGGGCCGTGCGGTGCGGCGAGGGGACTGCCGTTAGTGGTGGGCGTGCCGTTTGAGCTGCTGACACTGCTCGAAGTGCTGGTTGCGGGAGCAGTGGTGGAAGTCGGTGCTGGGGAGGCGTTGCGTAGAAGATGGCCCAGCAACTCGTGGAGGGGCAAGCCGCGGGCTTTGTCCGAGACCATGACATGCAGTGCAGGCATGTTGGTATTGGTGGGCACCGTTTCCACGTTGACTGGAATGACTTCATCTGTAAGGTGACAGTGGCCATTTGAAGTGCCAGTCGACACGAGGCGCAAATTAGGGGTGAGATGCCGGACTGAACTGTGAGGCAGGCTCTTTTCAAAAGGAGGGCCACTCATGCGGGGTGTGCTTTCCAAAGCACGGGTAAGATCCAGACTGACCTCCATGAATGCGGGAGAGGACATAGACACGACCGAAGACACCTTCGATGAGTTGAAGCTCAAGGTCTGCAGCAGGAATGCTGTTGAGGCAGTGATCGGGGCTGAGGTTGAGCATAGTCGGGGAGAATGGTGCGATGCGGTGGCGCAAGATCACCAGCTGGCTCGTGCCGGCTGGAGTGCGCAAGGTAAAGGTTTGCATCATGGCGGTGCTGTTGCTCGCCATGGTGTTTGTTGCCATCAGCACTCTGAGCACAAGCTCGGTCCAGGGTGAGCCGTCCTCTTCACTCGCTGTGGATCAAAACCGGGCGCGCTGTGATTATATGGGCGCGAGCCTCTGTCATTGAGGCTTGAGAATGGGAGAGTGCTTGTTCCCAACAGCAGGACCGGGGCTTGATCCGGTCTCAGTCACCCAGGAGCTCGGGGGGGGGGGCGGACGATGGCTTCTGGGCAAGTGGCACAGTGGGTGCGTGTGTGTGTTCGGGCTTTGTTGTTGCTGGGAGTGGATCACCGATCCACCCCTTCCACAGACGGCCCTATC